TAAACTTATATGAATAATTAGAAACTACGATACGCCGACGCTCAATGAAACCGATGTGATCGACTGTTCAAAAAATTGCATTTTTAATGGATCGAAGAAAACCAGATAGATTTGTCATGAGCATGGTGTACATTCTGCACACCGACTCAAAAAGCACAAACTGATGAATCAGGCGGAGCAGCTGACGGACAATAGCTTCCATATGACCATTTAAAAAACTGCGGTTATCGATATATTGCGTCTTGCACATTAGATGCTAGTAGACCCTCACATCACTTAGAAATACAGAAATCCGTAAAATCACGTTGCAAGATAGTAATCACCTGTTCCCCTTATCATTCTCGCCTATAACAGTCGGTGAAATGGTATGAGATATAGCAAGTGCAGGTTAAAGTTTAGGTTATTTAAGCAAAATGAATTTATGTCAGAAAACCGAAAATTCTGAAGATACACTAATAAACGAAATGAATTTTTCTATTACTATCATATCACGCCAAAAGTCTGATTTTGGAAAACTACGTATGGCAATATATACACATTTTCAATTGAGAAAGAAAGTGGAAAACTGCTTGTAGGCTTTGAAATGTACTGTTCGTGTCGTGTCGTATAATGTTTATATCGTTATTTTAGACTAACCAGTGTTAAGATAAGAGTATAAACTGTTACATTATACCCTACACCAAACTGGTTCAATTGCCTGGGTATTCCGAATAGAAAACCCCAAGAATTCTGAATTTGAAAGAAAATGCCACTGCATGCATATGTGTTCGTGCACAAAATGTGCAGTTGTGTCCGTTCATAATTAGGCTTGCAGAAGTTCAACAACAATATAGCAATCCTTTAGATCTCCGACAACTTAATGTGCGATACCAAAAATTCACATCCCCCGAAACGTCAAAATCTCCAAACTTCCTCACATTCATCCTTCATTTTTAAATTATGGATTAGTAAAGGCCTAGGGTAAAGTCCAAGCTCCGGCCAGAAGCATTAATGCATTGACTAAGCTTAGAGTTTATCTGTCACAAGAAAAGACAAAACCTTTAACTTACCATGTCCTTTTTGGTGACCGTGAGGGTGACCTCCATGGCTATGCGGGCCTCCATGGCCATGAGGCCCACCCTTAGATGTGGAAGGCGAGACGTTTGTGTAAACCTCGTGTCCACCAAAATAGGCCTGATCAGCGGCACGCACCGCCAAATTTGAAGCCAGGAATGTCGACTTCTCCGATGCGAGGCCTTCGATTGATGACATTGTTACTACCTAAAAACATATGTAAATAATTAAATAATTTTGCCGTTTTGGTATCATCACATCACGTCAAGTCACTGGCCACTTTTCGCTGCACAAAAGACTAATGAGCATCATATGTTGATTTCAATAGAAAAGAAACCTTAAAGAACTCCTAAAAACTTCAGTTGTCACCATTTCTCTAGAGATCTGGCTACTATAAAAAGCCAAAATTG